GCTTGCCCTGCTCAAAATTAACGCCAGTTAATGTAGGTCAACAGCCTGCCTTTGCATACCTAGTCAAATAAATACCTCTGCCATGCATTGCAAATGAAGATCTGTACGTACATTTTTTCTTCTAGAAATGGCTCTCTATGAAAATCTGTTGCACTGTGCAAAGAGTAGCTCGTCCTCTGTGGACTTTGACTGCACATCCCTAACCTAGATCCAGGCTGAGTTTTAGTTGATGGCTATCAGAATCAAGGAACAAATAAAAGATGAGTTCAAGTCAAAAAGTGTACTGTTGCTTGGTCAAAGGTCCAGCCCAAACATGAAGATTTCATTGCGCTTCCTGTTCCCTCTTGGAAGGCCCAGCGGCCAGCCTTGGTGGATGTGGCCAATCCAGCTGTGCAGACAATGCTTCAACACTTGAACAGGGCACGCTCCTAAACTGAGAAATATAAGAGGGATATATAATAATGTAATGTATAGAAATAGAATAGGAATATATATTACAAGTTAAAGAACAGTGGCAGTATTAAGAAAGATCATAAATCAAAGAGCTCAGACTCATTCTTGCTCCAGAGGAATGAAACTGTAGATACAGATTAGACATCAGGAATAGCTTCTTGACAATAAGAGCTGTCAGTCAATGGGTTACTGCATGGAGTGGTTTTCAAATAGAGGATGGTGTGGTGAATCCTGCAACGTACAGGGGGTTGGACTTGAGGACCTCTTAAGTCCCTCCCAATGCTGTGATTCTATGAAAGCTAGCATATAAATAATCAACGTTACTTCCCGCAGAATTTTGTCACTTTCCCCATGCAGCTGCATATAGCAAAATGATAATGTAATCCTGATGTTGCTTCTGTAGTCACCTGAAGGAATACTGCTCAGAGCAGCAACCATACTTTAGACCAGTCTCCATGTTCATAAAAATCAGATAGGTCAGCTTTACAGGGAGTGCAGCATATGAGAAAGAAAGTGTGACGGAGTGTACTGCTAGGGAACAGCACTCCCTGCACACAGAAAACTGGAACTTAAAGGATCTCATCTAATCTTTTCACTAGTAGCTTTCTCTCTGGAGGAAGATGTTTTTATTATTATTTTCTGTCTTTAGGAAGTTGGGGCATTCAGCCATCCAATCCCAGACTAATCAGGAAGGTTCAGAATTAGCCACTGGACTGCCAGCCTATTTAAATTTCTGGCTGTATCATATTTATTCTGGGCAAAACGAGTGGTTTCCATACCAACATCCCAGAGATCCCTGCATGGCGAACCTTATTTGTGTTGGCATTTTATTTCTAGGTAATTAAAAGTCCGCCAACAGGAGTTATTTGTTGTAGGCAATCTGTTGCTCCAAGATAAACATGAGCTTTTTCCAAGGGAGAATATCGCAATTGGGCCAGAATGTTTATTTCCCACCAACAGATATTGTGCATCATCTCGGATGCTTCCATTACTGCTGCTGTATAAAATAATATAGCTGAAAATCCCCAGAAGGAAGGAATTAGTTTGCTGCTAAGGGAGTCCTCATGGCAGAGAGTTTGCAAGTCAGCAGACTTTGCTGGGAAAGTCAATTCTAAATGACTCTTAAAAGGAGATAAATTGGGCATATCAGTTTTTCTGATGATTTGCTTCAAAAAGACACAGGATAAATCACTGCTTGATGTGGTGGGTAACCCAATCAGAGGCATACTGGTTCTCACAAAGGAAGATTCTTGCTACGGAATGATCTTACGAGGCTCCAAACTTCAATTTGCTGACACAGCCCCGTAGTGCTATGTGCAGGGCGAGGGCCTTTGATCATGCAGCAGAGCGGGCAAGATCCTGCAGTAGGTCTTCCCAAATGGGAGATTTTGAGGCTGAGCGAGGGCCGCTTCCAGAAGTGCTGCAAACAAGGTGAAGAGGGGCTAGAGCGGAGGTTAGGATCATGGGCTGAAATTTGAATTGCCTATCGTTATGAATCTATTCATTTCAAGAAAGCTTTTTTTTAAGATGACACTTTAGGATGGATGAATCTGTTACACTTCTGTCATCACATTTTTAAGGACGATTTTATGTCATTTGGGAGTTGGGTGGTGTCTGAATCAAATCAGTCAATCAATCAATCAGTGTGCATCAATGTGCAAAGTTTTATTTCAAACTGGCATGAAAAGTTTTACATTTGTGATGCTTTTTTCTATTTTTTGCTCAGGCGTATATCTTTGTAAACAGTTTTGCCTAATATTTTCCTTTTATATGTACACGTTCTTTTGTTTGGAGTTGTTCTTCAACTATGGGCATATCTTCTTGTCCTGATAAGTACAGCACGAAGATACCTGCGAACCATTTTTAGAGGACCTGTCCTCATGATGCAGCCTTAGTCAGATCCTCGGCCGCTGCAGAGACAGCCTCTCTTCCACCCCAGCCGTCCCAATTTTAGAGCAGTGTTTGTCCTCTTCTCTGATCCAAGTCTTATTTTCAATGCCGCCAGCCCTTTCCTCTGGCCGTTGGCCCTGCCCTCTAGGGCCATTTGTGTTAGGGTTGTAGGTGACACTGGCCTCCTGGCTTCCACAGAGGCACCTGCCAGTGCTCTGCAAAGCCTCTTATAGGATTGTGTCGGCTCTTATATATGAGATCATTTTTAGCATGCCTTTAGTGGTCTTTTGAAAGAGCAGTAGAGACTAGCACTCTCCCCAGGGAATGAGAGATGGATTTTTCCATATGCGTGTTGCTGAGTGCAGTGCAGGTTTTCCACTGTTCCTGCAGATCAGGGATTGTGTATTGTGTGCTTTCTACAGGATTTGGGGCAGTGGCACCATTTTGCTTATCCCAGGAGATGCTTTCAGGAATTACCAACCAGGGTCGCTCACTCCCAGCAGCGTCATGCCCTTGCAGCGGGAAATGATCTGGGATTTGGGGGGAGTGGGGATGAAACCAACAAGATTTCTTCCAATTTCCCATTCTAGCCCCATTGACAGTTCAGTGGGGAAGGTAATGGGCCTAGGATAAACCAGGAGAGTGAATCTCCTATGACATGAGTCCCCTCTGGCTTCATCTAGCACCCTTCCTTCAGCCCAGTGATCTGTATGCCTAGCTATTTTTGGATAAGGGTTTGCTGGTCTTTCAGAAGACCAGTAGACCTGTGTTCAGAAATAGCTTGAGGGAGAGGTTATGAGCATAGAGCGTCTCACTTAGTGTGAAGGAATGTAGACCTGACCTGGTGTCAGCGAAGGAAGGAACAAGCCGTTAAGGTGGACTGGCAGAAAAGATTACACCATCCTGGGAAAGAGGAAAGTGTGAGAAAGAAACTCAGAATAGTCCCACTATGACCTTGTTTAGTATAAGATGGGATACCTGGACAGGTTTTCAAGGTTCTGTATTTCTACCTTTGTGTAATAAAGAGCATTCTTGGGATCCTTCCCCTTCCAGTTTCTTGACTGGCCTACCTTGAAGGTACCAATAGAGGCGAATATGTGTAGCTCAGGGTTGAATTGTGGAGTCCTTGGGGTTCTCTGAGCTTG